AAAAATTATTTTAGAGCTTCTAACTCGGAAGACTTCGTGGTTTTTTTTTTTTTTTTTTTTTGGAATTTTATTTTTTATTTATTTATTTTTAATTTTTTATTGTGGGTTGTTCAAAACATTACAAATTTCTTGACATATCATATTCCACACTTTGATTCAAGTGGGTTATGAACTCCCACCTTCACCCCATACACAGATTGCAGAATCACATCGTGGTTTCTAACTCGGGTAGAATAATGGTCCCACTGAGCCAGGCAGGACCGTCCGGAGGAGCAGAGGCAGGGTTGTATTTAAACTGATGCCCACGTGGAGGCATCTGCAGGAGATACGATGGGGTGGTGAATGTCCTCATTGTCAGTGTGGGGTACTCGGATTCATCGACAGAGTGGCCATCTGAAGTCACGGATAAAGTGAGGCTGTGCAGAGGGGTGAGAAAAAGGACTTTGAAGAGTCCTGAACTAAGAACGAAGGTGAAGCCAAGAAAACTTATCTAAGAAGGGGAGACTGAGGGAAGCCAAACCTGCCTGGCCCAGGATTCTTGAAAAACAGGAGGAGAGACTTTGAAAGAGGACCAATGAAGATGAAATGCTGCTGAGAGGACAGGAAACAGTCCAGAGATTATCACAAATGACAACAGAGAGATTTAAAGAGAGAAAAAGAAAGTATCACACGTTAAAAAAAAAAAAAAGAGAGAACCAACCAACCACAGCAAGAGATGGAGAACACACTAACCCTCTTACATAGAGGTAAGAAGGAAGCCCCAGCAGCCTCCCACCATCCCTGCCAAGAACACAGGTGCAGAAACCCAGGCAGGGCAGGCATGTTCTCCTGCCTGGGGTCTTGCTGAATTCCAATCTTTAAGGGTGGAGAAAAGGAATGCGGCACCATCCCCAATGCCCTACAGACTTAGAGAGCTCCAAGATGGCACTTGAAGAAATCAGGGACCACACAGGCACTGGGCCATACATGTACTGTGCTCGCCAATGTGGAATGTGAAGTTCATGATACACCAATGCAATTCCTGGACTCTAAAAACGTATCGCCTAAAGCTATATGTAAGCATGAATTCATAGACTGAACTTTCTAGAATCGTTTTGCCAACATTGATCATGAAAATTTTTTATTTTCTCTAGATTTCTTTTCATTTCGCTGTCAACAAATTCTTTAACCCTAAGTCACGAGCCTCCTACATGCTGATGAGGTGGCCAGGTTTTGAGGATCAAAAAGACCATATGATAGGTTATTATATAAACTAACAGTATGTAAACATAAAAGCCTCATTATTAGTAGCAAATCCTGCAAAGAGCTGTCCTCACACAAATGCTGTATGATTCCATCCACACAAGGTCCCTAGAGTAGTAACTTCAGAGAAACAAGAAGCAGAACAAAGGTTGCCAGGAACTGGGGTGAAGGAAGTGGAGTTTAGTTTCATGGGAGCAGCTTCAATTCTGTAAGAGGGAACCTCTGGAGGTGGGCGGTGGTGATGGCGGCCCAACAGCATGGACATACTTGATGCCACTGAATACACACTTGAAAAAGGTTAGTTAACATGAGGAACTTTACATCACATATACTTTACTACAATTACTTAAAAGGAAAATAATGGTCTTTGGGTTTTTTTTCAATAAAATCTCTCTGTTGTGGAATTATGGATAAAAATCTGACCTAGTCAAAGGTCTTGTTGACCTACTGCATTAACCCCTGGAAATGCAGGCTCCAATCACTGGGTCTCCTTTGCAGTGTAAAACGAAGTTGTGCCTGTGTATGCACAGGCAGAGCATCCCTAATCTGAAACCCTGAGATCAGAAACTGTGTCAGTGTTGTCATGACACCATAAGTAGAAAATTCCACACCAGGAATCTCTAATTTTTGCACAAAATTATTTAAAAGAACATATAAAATTACCTTCAGGCTATGTGTACAAGAAACATAAATGAATTTCATGTTTGGATTTGAGTCCTATCCCTAAGATATCTCATAATGTATGTGGAAATATTTTTAAAAATTTTTAAAAAACCAAAGTCTGAAACACCTCTGGTCCCAGGCATAAGTGTTACACTCCATCTGTGTTTAGTTACGTGTCTGGGAGAACTCACGAGAGAAGCTAAGGAAGGCAACACCATGATGGGAACTCTCCTAATGAAAGAGCCAGAGCCTGTAGCATGAGGGAAACATTTGTGCCATGTCTGTCCCATGAGAGAACAACCTGGAACAAATCGGAAGTTACTTGGTTGAGAGAAGGCGGAGGCTCAGGTGTGGGAGCCAGCATGCACTGCTGCAACATCCCTGACCCACCTTACACGATCACGTCCTGACCGTAGACATGAGTATCTACAGTGGAAGGCAAAAATAAGAGAACCGCCACCTGGTCCCCAAACACCAACCTCCAGCACCACACACTGTACTTCCTATGCGTGCTGTGTCAGAGCTTAGAGTTCCTCCATATGGACCTAAATAACACAACTTTAATCTCAGACCCTTTATTCATTGCTTCCTTTTCAACAACAGATCCTTTATAGATACCTATGAATGAATGAACTTCAAGAAAAGTCAAATATGAATGAGAAATGATCATTTTAATTACCTAAAGTGTTAAGCCATGTGTTGAAAAGACCTCAATTAAATGCACAAAAATAATGAATAAAATTGTTAAAAGTACATTTTAAGTTTTAAGTGTCAAATACATGGTCTATTATCAGAAAAATAATCATCATATAAAATAATTTAATAGTCACAAAGTGACCATAATGAATTCCTATCATTTTAGCCCCAGGATTGTTATTTTATATATTATAAATATATACATATATATAAATTATATTCAATTTTATTATTTATATGTACCTATAAAATAACAATAAATAAATAAATACATAAAATAACAAGAAATAACTACCATTAAGTTGTCACTTTAAAAGGCAAATTCTCAATAAAGGTGAAAAACAAAATAGAACCCAAAACGAAACTCAAGCGAGGCCAAGCAGTCAGACTGGAATTTTACCTTATCTGTGCATGTTTTTTTCAGTGATGAGACAGATGCAAGATTTTGACCAATAATTCCAGATGATATTCAATAAGTAATATATAATATTCAACAGATTGTTCAAAACCCTTTTTAAAAATATGAGTTAAGTTCTGAAACACAAATCATCTGTTTTCTGATCTGTTTCCTAATGTTAACTCCTTTTCATTACTGCACAAAGTACTCCAGAGAGTAAGAAGAACTGACGTGAGCTGACTTCCTTTTTTTTTTTTTTTTTGCTATAAACCAGAACTTTATATTCAAAAAGGAGAAATACTATCAAAAAATATTAAAAACATATTCTACATTGGCCAGCACTCTTTTTAAGAAGTGGGAAGCTCTATGGTCCTAGCGGATAAAGCAATTGAGAAAATATCAAGAGCAGCAGACATGAACCCCAGGCACATCTTAATGGCTTTGCTAGTTTCTCCATTTACAAAAATCAGGACACTCTCAGTGCTGTTTGTGTTAGGTAATTAACAGCTGTAATGCACACTGAAAGTAGAAACTGCTAAATAAATAAAGACTGCCAAAGAATTTGAACCATAATGTGCTAAGTAATAATGATGAAACATAGGCTTCTAACTTTATCGTTTTTGTTTTCAAATTAATAATGCAAATAAGACTCATCTCAGCACAGTGCTAGAGAGCAAGTTGGCTTTAGTGATCAGAAATCACAGAAGGGATCTTGTGTCTCCAACAGCAGATGACTCAACTCTACAGGCAGCAATGAAGACATTCACGTTCTGTTCCAGTTGCTACAGAAATACCACTATTTTGCCTGTGTCTATCTTTTTTGTTCATTCCAAATAGAAGCTGCTCTACTTGAAAAATCCACTAAGCAATAAATGTTTTGAGAATTACCATTTATTTCACACTGATTGTGAAACCCTAAACCACATCAGTGCTTTAAACTATGTTCTGGGAATTAACAACACAATCACATCTAAAATGACCATTCTCTACATTTTCCAATCTACTACAATATTTATGAGTTTGCACGAGCATCTGAGAAGTTTCTATGCATTTTTAGACTTGCTTACTAAGGAAATAAAGATGAGAAGAGATCAGGACCCATTTCTGGACCTTCCCTCCAAACTTCACTCTCCACTGGTGATATCAGCACTTATAAGAGTTAAACTATGCTTAAGACAGGAAAGCTAAATATTTTACTACTCATTAGCTGCTCTTATCTTTTGTGTGTGTGTGTGTATATATATATATATATATATATATATATATATATATTTGAAATAACTACTGAGTTTTGTGAAATTAAATTAAAAAGACCCCAAAATTACAAAAATCATGGAAAGATGGGAAAACCTTAGATATTAAATATATTTTACTATATACCTGGAAAACATGGTCTTCTGCCTAAATCTAAAATCTGATCAAGGTTCTATTCACCAAAAAAAAAAAAAAAATTGCTTTGTGAATTTTATGAACACTTATAAATAAACTGTGGCTATAAAGAACAATTTCAACATCACTGAAGAAATAAGAGTAAATCTTGTTTAATATCTATTTGGGGAGAAAGTCATCCCCCAATAATATTTTGAGAAAAAAATTAAAGGTCCACAGAAGAAACTAAAGGGTATTATTCACATTAAAATGCAAACATATAATTTTATTCTCATAATAACCAAGACCTCAAATACCATTTTTAGTGACTCATATTAATTTAATTGTGACATTAGCTTTTATAATCATAGATGTAAAAAGACCACTGTGTTCCAAACATAATTATCTCACCAGCATCTCATTTCACAAAATTATTAGTTAAGATGAGAGCCTCTGAGTGAATTTATATTTGATTTGTTTCACTTATTTAAGAACACTGAATAATTTAAGATCTGTTTAAATACAGGGGAAGCCACACGCCACCCCCTCACCCCCCTCCCTGAGAGTGAATGTCTGCACCCTGCCGTCTCCAGACAGGCCCCAGCTCTGCTGAACGCACACCAACCGGGCCTACCTTCCAGATGAAGCCACATCAACCGCCCCTTCACGCTGACCACAGAGGCCACACAGAGTTCTCCTGGATTCCGGGGGTTCACGGCTTCCAGTTTCATGTTCTTTGTGAAACCCCTACTGAAGGACGTCTGAAAGAGAAACAGAACCGGCACTGAGACCAGAGCTAACCCAGCAGGATAAGGGCAGAGCACGTCGGGTGAAGATAGACTTGCGCCCTCGTCTCATCCCAGGACAGGAAGGGGGCTGGTCTGCACATTCACTGTTCCCCCCATTTGTGAAAAAAGAACCATGCACGTTTTATTTTGGCACTCCAGAAGCTAGAACTCTGCTTGGCAAACAGTGGCACCTGATAAATGAACCAGGATATGAATACACTTTTTCCAGTTCTGCATGTGCCTTTACTTCTACGGGATCACGGATGCACACATCATTTCTCCTGATTTCCTATATTCCTTGCTAAAAATCATACCTAGGCATATTTGAGGTTGTTGAAGAGGGCACATGGAGTATCCACCTGGCCTTGTTTTCTTTGAAGACTGCCCTTTAACATGTCTTAAAATACAGTGGTGATGGATCCACACCCCACCCACCCACGGTTTTTAAAATCTGAAATTATTTTTATTCTCCCTCTGTCCTGTTTATTCATATTTGCTTCCTAAATTAATTTTTGAAATTTTACCTATGGTAAAATTCACTCTTTGGGGTGTGCTGTTCCCTGAAGGTAGGGCTGTTAGACTAATACAAGGCACGTGTCTATAGCCACAATCAAAGGACAAAAAGAACAGTTCCTTCAACCCCCAAACTCCCTTGTGCTGACCCCCTTGGATAATCAGTCCCTCCTCAATGCTCAATCACCAAACTCTTTTTAGTTCCTATCAGTTTGTCATTTTATCTTATAGTGTCATATGAATGGAACCACACTGTGTGGAGACTTTAAAACCTGGCTTCTTAGTAAACTGCATTTGAGATCCACCCATGTCACTGCATGAGTCAATAGTCTGCTCCATTTTATGTCTGAGTAGTTTATACAGACATACCTCAGTTCAGCCATTTGCCAATTAAGGTACACTGGAGCCCTTTCCAATATTCAGTGAATCTGAACAAAGTTGCTATAAACATTCAGATACAAGATTTTGTGGAAATGGAAGTACCCTAAGCTGCTCGGGTTGCCATAACAAAACACCAGAGACTGAGTGGTTTAAACCACAGAGAATTATTTCTTCATGGTCCTGGAGACTGGAGGTTCTCAGCAGTGGGTGCAGACCCCTGTGTCCTCATGGGGTCTTCCCTCTCTGTAGGTCTGTCTCCCAACTTCTCTTCACCAAGTCATACTGGATTAAGGCTCAGCCATATGACTTCATTTACACTGATTACTTCTTTGAAGATCCTGCCTCCACATTATGAGATACCCAGGAGTAAAAAATAATGAATTGTGGGAGGATGCAATTAAACTATTAACATTAATTTTTCAATTCTCAAGAAATCAGATTGTGGACCACATGGTAGACAAATGTTTAATTGTCTAAGGCACTGTCAAATTGTCTTCCAAAGTGGCCGTGCTATTTTACATTCCCCCAGCAATGTACTGCTACAAATACTCATTGGCACTTGGTGTTTCGGGCTTTTCACAATTTAGCCATTCTGTGGGATCTAGTGCACCTCACTGTGGTTTTATACTTAGTTTATCCTATTAAGCAATGATGCTGGGCATTTTTCCCCCCATCTCTTTGTCTTCTGGATAGCTTCTTAGGTGATGTGCTGCTTTTTCTTATTCCACTGTGTCTCCAATTAGACATGTCTTATTCCTCACACACCTGATATTTCACTTGTCATTTTTTCTCCTTGCCAATCTTTTTCTCTCTATTCTTCAGATAATTTCTACATTCAAGGTCATGGATTCTTTCCTTTATCATCTCCATTCTGCTATTAATTTTGGTTACTGCAGGTACTGTATTTCTCAGTTACAGAATTTCTCTCTTTTTGCAATACCGAGGATTGAAATCAGGTACACAGTGTCTCACTAAGTTGTTTAGGCTGACCTCAAATTTGCAATCCTTCTGCCTCAGCCTCGAAAGTCACTGGGATTACAGGTGTGTACCAGCACACCTGATTCAAAATTTCTCTTTTTTGTATTTTCTACTTTTTCTTTAGGAATTCCAATCTTTTTATTCATAATGAGGATATTTTTCTTTACATATATGGTTCTCAAACTTTAAGGTATATCACATAATCATGTTGACAGCTTTTGAAAAAGCAGACTACTGAGCCTTCTCCAGTTTCTGATGCAGTTGATTATAGGTGGAGGTAAAGAATTTGTATTTCCAACAAATACTCAGGTGACCCTGCAGCTACCAGTATAGGGACCACATTGAGAACCATGTTCCACATCACTGAGCTTAGATAGTCACAGGAAGGGTTTTCAATATTTATCTGCTACTTTCAACATCCGGATCATGCTGGGTTTGGTCTGTATATCTTTCCTATTGGAAATGAATCAATTTTCCAGTTTTTCCCTGTCTTGAGCAACTTTTTAGGATTGAAACTTGTACATTATAAACATTATGGTATGGAGACAGTGGATTGTGTTATATTCTCACCAAGGATGCCAATTTTGCAAAGTCCATCTTGAGAAGCAGAAAGCTCTCGGTCCTGTTCTCTTGCCCTCATCTAGGCTAGTGGGGTCTGAGGGATGATACCATATGTAATTGTCCTCATCCTGGCACAGACATGATTCAACCAAAGAGAAAGGGGGCACTACACACAGGATCTACACTTTCCCCTCTTGACCCTCCCCGTGGGAAACTCCTTTCAACTTCCAGTACCTGTGATCACCCAAATTCAACAATATGCTTCACCAGTGCAGAAGACTGTGAGGTCTGCATCCCTCTGTAGCTATCCCGCACCTCACCAACTCTGGCTGTTCTCAGAATGGGACAAATGGCCACACTGCTGCTTCCTTCTGACCACTCCCCCTGACCACAATGGCCTATTCTGATTTGTCCTCCACTGCCCCCATATGGGGTTTTTGGTACAGTGTCCAGTTGCTACCTACAGGAGGGTCAATTCAATATGAGCTCACTCAGCCAATACCCGAAGCAAAACTCCCTCCTAACATTATTTTTAAGTAAATATGAAAATTTTCCCAATCATTAGCTACTATAAATTCTAATAGGATTGGGGTTGTGGCTCAGTAGTAGAGCCTGGCATGTGTGAGACACTGGGTTGGGGTCTGAGCACCACATATAAATAAATAAAGGTCCACTGACAACTAAAAAAAATATTTAAAAAATTATAGACGGGCAGAGTGGCGCATGTCTATAATCCCAGTGGCTCAGGAGGCTGAGACAGGAGGACGGCGAGTTCAAAGCCAGTCTTGGCAATTTAGGAAGGCCCTAAGCAATGCAGTGAGACCCTGACTCTAAATAAAATACAAAATAGGGCTGGGGATGTAGCTCAGTGGTCAAGTGCCCCTAAATTCAATCCCCAGCCCAGTACTCACCCCAAAAGATAAGTTATACTGGGACGTGTAATACTCTCTAAACAGATCTAGTTTGAAGTATATAAACTAAGGTAAACAGGTTCCTATTAAGCCATAGAGACTACATATTTCTGTGACTCATGAAAAGGAATCATTACCTGCCCTTCATAAAACTTCAGTTGAAAAATGAAATTATATCTTTATATAATCTGAAGAGAAGTAGCTATTGTATGTTAAAAAATCAATTTGTCCCTTTCCAGAGATATTCTAGGTGGGCTATTTTTTTCTGCAAGTCATTCTGTCTCATCCACACATGTTATGTATTGAGCTTCTTTCTGATAACACAACTCGATAGCTGCCTGAAAAACCTCTAAGTAAGTTAAAATGCATTTTATTCTACTTAATAAGGGAAAGCTACAACCATGCAACCAATTTTCACTTCAACTCGCTGCTTGAGGGTAATTTAAAGGATCAATAGCAAAACTGTTACCTATGAGTTTATTTTACTAAGCATTTGGCTGTGTCGATCCATTTCCTAACTGCCTCTGATTGTTAAACATCCCCGGGGGAAATGTCTTCCATGCATCCAATTCCACACCGGCTCCCTTCTAGCACACATGAGATGTGTGATTAAAAAATGAATTCATAATAAGCATTCCATTAAGGAGCACGTGAAGCAAGCTAACAAATTCAGCAAAGTACCAGTAATGCAATGCATATGCCAACAGGCAGACAACAATTCTGTCTGTTAAATAAACGGAGAGCCAGAAACAAAGGCATTCCTAATGAACACGGCAGCAAATTCATTAAAGCAGATTTAATATTGGTAGCTAAATCCTGGATCAGCTCAGAAGTCAACTGGTGATGTGGCTACTTGTTCCACCATTAGAAGCCGCTTGGAGGACTCCAGGCTGAATGAGAGCAAAGGACAGAGAAAGAGAAGCTTCGGTGGAGCACCACTGTCATGGTGGAGGTACTCCCTAACCACAGAAACAGGGGCGATGTATTTGCTTCCCAAAGAGAAGAATCAGGAAAGGAATATTTCTCTTGTGCGGTAGGAAGCACAATCTCAAACAGGCGTGGGAGTGATACAGGGTGTATCCACAGTCCTAATGAAAGGTGGTCAGGCCAGTGGATTCTGAGATAGTGACAGCAGCGTGGAGAAAAGTCAGGCAAAGCGATACTTGACCTAGGAAGCCTTTGGGCCTCCCCAGCTGCAATCCTCATGGGCATGGCCACATAGCTGTCCCCACTGACCACCTGACCACATACCACACAGTCCTTGACTGCTACAGAGAAACCGCTTCTGTGTGAAAAAAATGACAGCCAGTGGAGAGGCCAGTTAGTCATTTAAGGGGCCCTGATCTCCAGTTCCCATCTCTGCCACTGAGCTGCTTCTGTATTTATGAGTACAAGTTGACCCAGCCATCGACCCACTTAATTTTTCAAAATCTGTATTTGATATAAGCTCAGTTTTGAACTTCTATTAAGCCAACACTCTCCCCTCTCACTTTCCCTGTTCTGTGATCCCTGGAGGTCAAATCACCATAGGGGAAGTAACGAGTCAGCAGCACCTTCAGAAACAAGTTTCTCCTTCACACTGCTGTGTCTACAGGTTCCAAGCAAGAGAACTATACCTTTTGTTCTTAGCCTAAGAGGTTAACGTTCATCACTAACAGTATGTTACACACACCAGACTATCTATTTACACTTCATTTTTAAAGTAGATAATATTCCATATTCCTTGTCATAGTTCCTAAGGTTGATGAAGCTTAAATGAATAATTTTATAGATTACTTTACAAGACCACCTCTTATGACTTATTGCTACTTTGTGTCATATAAATCCTATTATTATGCCAATAAGCTCTCTTTGAATAAGTAGTTTAAAGAAAGCAGAGCACAAAACTGTTGAACTTGAATCTTACTAGTAATCAGAGTATTTCATAAAGCAATCAAGGGGAAAAACACTATTTTTTAATAAGCCTTAAGAGCAAAAAAAAAATACTTACCATGTATTACAATACATGGTAAGTGTACATCTAATGTTGGCACAGATGGTAGCTATCCAATATCTGTCCTCCTCCTTCCACAGCATGGAACGGCAGCTGGGAAAAGAAACCCAGGACCCATTTCTTGACTTCACTTACAGCAGTCCAGAGACATTTCGCACCAACAGAAGGTGAAGAGGAATGTGTCAGCACCAGGCCACTGTGCTTGGAACCAGGACCTCAGCTCCTAGCCTTTTTTCCCTACCTGCTTGCAATCAGGTGACCAATGGAGCCCAAGACTCCACTAATCAGGAACACCCTGGACTCCTCCTTAAGCAAGAAATCGACTTTTCATGTGTTCAAGACACTGTACATTTATGTGTCAATTTGTTACAAACCCAGCATTACCATAACAAATACACAACCTGGAAGAAAGATTACTTTTCAAAAACAAAGTTCCGTGATGCTTCCGTTCCATGTGTAGTACTCCAAAATGGTCCATCAATAGAAAGCAAATTATAAAACTTACTGTGAACAACATCTATGATTTTAAAAAGTAGCTAAGATGAAAGTTTCTTACGTTTCTAAAGCAGAAGGGAGGTGCTTCTTCCGCCCCATGCTGCTTGTGATAATCCGCCCAGTCAAAGTCCTGGCCGGAGTAACCTGTGAATGATGAAACACAGAGAGCCAACGTTAGCTGAGCCAAATCCCAGACAAATGCTGAACCTTAGCATGGGTCAGTGGTTGAAATCATAAGAGGAGCAAGTCTAAGTCCTGAAGGATGAGTCCTCAAGGCTCATAGCATCAGATTTCATAAGGCTCAAATGAAATATTTTGGAAAATGCAAAACACCTAATACAGGCAAGGAGTGCCATCATCACAATGCAGGACCTGAAACCAGCTGAAGAAGGGGAAACTTACCTGCTGCTCTGCGGGACACCTGCTGGCAGGTACAGAACAGCAGAGAGAAGGAATGACACAGAACATTCTTACGATCCATTTTGCAGAAACAGACAGAGATACCTCCCTTCTATAAATGCCAAGAGCACAGCAACTTTACTTTCAGTATCTTCAAAGAAATAATGAGCATTTATTGGGAACAAATACAGTTGGGAGATAGTTTTTAAAAGAATAAATGAAGAAAGAGCAGAAGACAAACAAGGAGACAAAGCCCTCAAAGACACAAAAGAGGAAGAATATAAACCATGTCGTGGAACTGAACTGCAAGGATGAAGGAAAGGGAGAATTGGGAAAGATGGGCCTCTCTGGCTTGAAGCTTTGGGGGGAAATTGGAGATTCTAAGGAAAGGGTTTGAGAAATGACCATTCACGTGCACTGAATTTAATTAAATGCAGTGTGATTTTTCTTTCTTTTACTGACTTCATTTCTGGAGCAGAGGGGGGTTGCAATTACACAGTATGTATCCATCACGGCAACCACAGAAGACAAGGGAGGAGATGAGGGGAAGCAGCCCTGGCTCAAAAATGAGAAAGACATACAGGGAGGAAAAGGCCTCCAAGTCAAGCCAATGAGCCAACATCAAGGAAAAGGGGTGAGGTGCTTAAACTTCTCCAGTCAACAATGGACGGAGATGGGAAGTACAGACCAACAGTGGTTAAACTACAATGTGAGCAACGTCACTGTCATACACTTGATTCAGTGTACTTTCTTTATTAGTTGAAGTGCGTGCAAGATAAATCCATCAGGGACTTCTGAAGTACACTTTTGACACTAGTCCCCCAATTTCTCATATCCATAGTGTCATAAACCCCACCAATGTAGATTCACTTCATGTTGAGACTTTAAGTTACTAAATCCCCACAGGTGCAGAGATCAATTAATTACAGAAATTATTAAAGGAACTCAAGATATGGTTGCCAAAACAAAAAGATATGCCCCCAAAACAAAAGTGTTATTTTTATTAGCTAAGTTCAATTTACTGTCCACCCCCCGGCCCAGGATTACAGAGAGAGCTATTAACCAAGAAAATAGCTCTCCTCTGGTTCCAAAGACTGACTTCTGACCCACCCATGCCCCACTGACCAGCAGCAGCAGGAATGTCCTCATTTTTCTTAAGACATCTATTTCATTCTACAAAGACTGACAACTCATTTCTTTCAACAAAGTGACACAATACTTCCAAATATTATATTCTCTTTTCAGGTAATTTCAAAGTGGTTCCTGAAGTTCTTCTGCCTGTGTTTCCACTAACGTTTTTCTCTTCAGGGCTGTCTCTCCTGCTAAATGGCTCTTGCATCAGAGGTTTCTGGAAGGGACAAAACTAAGGTACTTCGAATATTTTCACATAAAACAAAGAATGCCTTAAATAAGGTAATGGAATTTGAGTTTGTTTTACAATTGATAGAACACTGCACTGTGAGCACAGTTTGGAATTGTTTTGGAGCCAATCTGCCTGTTCATGTATCAGAGTACAAGGGACCATGAGCCCTCAAGACCTTCGGTATGGTCATAAGTTTCTTGACGGCACAGAAGGCACTGAATCAGAAAACAGGAGGGCTGGTTTTAGCTTCAGTTCTGCGGGTCAATGGGTGGACCATGGTGAAAATAAACATATGCCTGACTTTCTGCATCTATGAGGCCACAAAATAAAGAGCAAAGCTTCAAGGCTCCCTCTGGCTGTCATACTCTATGACTCAGAGCTGCCATTTCTAATGATCTTACTGTTGCTCCCTAGGATTTTCTTTCCATCTCTTTGTGGTTAATTCTTTTCTTTTACTAGGAGAAGAGTGTAACAGGGTTAGAAACATCCCAACTCAATCCATGAAGACCAGGTGAATGCCCCCAACACCAGGGTCCTATCTGCCTGGCAGGCTGGCTTTGTAAGGGTCAAGACCTTCTTCTGTGTCTCCTCCCTGGACCTCTGTTCCTTCCTTGGTTAATTTTGTGAGCTCATGAGATCATGGGTGCTAAACAGATATAAAGTAAAGCATTTTCTGATACTGATATAACACCGCATTTGGATATTCAATACAATAAATATCTATTCAGATAAAACTTTCTAACCTTCTGTCATTCTATTTCTTAAATATAGACATTTAGCTGGGTTTTCTACACCAGCTTCTAATGGGTTTCAACCCACTCCACACAATGTCATGTTCCATGTTTGCCTGGGTCTACATTCAACCCTGCATATGCCCAGGTCCCCACAGTGACTGTGGGGAGCCATTTTTAATCAAATAATTTCTAGATATAATCAAGTCTTGCTGGGTACAGTTTAAGCAATAATTAGTGATTCTGCCCCCAAAACTCACTATTTTCCTTGAACATTGAAAAGGCTTAGACTTTTCCTCCTCCTCCTCCTCTTAGGGACATTTATTCACTTCATCACTTAAAATTCCTTTCCTTTGGGCTGATAATGAGCTCTCTTTGTAAGGCATTTTTTGTGACAGCTCAGAAAATAACTGCTACATAAAAACAAATTGCCGTGGATCGTATAATAGAGACAACAGGGGTCAATTATGCTCATTAATCAACAAAGACAGAACAAGAAGTACTGAGGCTTAACTGTAGCCAGGAAAACATGTTTTAAACCTGGAGGGAGGGAGAAAAATAGCAGAGGGGAGAAGAAAATAAAAGGAAATATACCCCCTTAGGCTATTAAAATTTGCAACAAGCTGCCAGGGGAGACTGTTGAACCACAACCATTAGAGTTATTTTAGCTTTTATCAGTGTTTATTCTAAATGAAGTTCCAACTGTTCCAGGTCCAAAAGGGATAAGGCAGATGACCCATTTTCACATGATATAAATGAATGGTCATAAACCAGCTCCACTTACAAACATTACCATCAACTGTGCAAATGGACAATTCTTTTGAAAAACCATTTGATAACAGCAGTAAAAATATCCAAGCCCTTTAACACAACAAATTCACTTCTGAGAACTTATCCCATAAACAGGACCCTAAAATCTGAGAAAGGGTGATACATTAAGATACTTATAGGATTATGTAATAACTTTCCATTCAACAAGAAATGATGTGAGACTTATCCAAATGCACAGGATGTCACGCAGGCATGAAATTGCAAAGAGTATACTGAAAAAAAATCATTAATGAAAAAAATAGGTTGTTATGCTTTAGATGTGAACACTGCTGCAAGCTTACATTGAATTATTAGATTTATATAAAAATATGTGAGGAAAAGACCAGCAAAAATGTTGAGAAAAACTTTAATAAATAAATATCAAAAATAATTGTTTTAGGACTGGGGATAGCTCAGTTGGTAGAGTGCCTACCTTGTGTACACAAGGCCCTGGGTTCGATCTCCAGACCACAAAAAAAAAGAAAATTGTTTTGGACTCTTGGTTACTTTTTTCTTTGACCTTTTTGTATATTCCAAGTTTGCAATAATGATTATGAAATTATTTCAGTAATAAAAGTCAGATGAAAACATGGCATCTTTGCTCACTTTCAGCAGATAATCAGGGCACAGGTCAATCAGTGGAGGGGTCTGTCCAGCATGTTGAAGACCCCAGGGCTGTCTTTCCTCAGCTATCTGTCTTTGGATTTGCTAACAGAATCCAGATTTTCTCTGGCATTGGTTAGGCCCCTCTTTGGCACCGGGAAGTGAATCTTGGCTATTCAGAGACCATCACAGTGTCCCTGGCCTGAGGCTTGGGATAGGAGTTTGAAAAAAGTTTAAGGAAAGATTTCTTTCTCTAATAAGGGAGACATACAGGACTAAAATTCTTGTACCAGGTGGCTGTAAAAATAAAGTGTGCAATTATAATAGAAAATAGGAAAAGAATCTCATTTTTGCCAACTACTGGATTGGCAAAATGAAAAGCATTAATAAGACATCACATGCTAAAGGTTGCTGGGAAAGAGGCCTTTATGCATTTCTTCTTGGAAAACAACTCAAAACACGGAGACAGGTGTCAATTTCATTATAGGTGTCATGGGTCAGAATCTTCAAGAATGTGCCCACCTCCAGCCTACACAGCTGCTCCTTCACATGGTCCTTTATTCAAATCTATGGACCTGGCACATGCTATGTGCAAGGCAGGTGTTAACACTTGGGATACAGAAGTGAAAAAAATGGCAAAACCCCTCCCCTAGCAGGGCTCACCTGCAGTGAGGGGAGACACGGTAAGCATCAGTTTAAAAACCCAGATGCTCCCAAATGCTAAAAGACAAAGTGCAGAAAGCACACGGAGATGGCTGCTCCTGTTAACAGAGCAGTCAAGGAGGCTCCCTGACAAGGCGAATGGTGGCACGGGTGTCCTGGGGCGGAGGAAGGAGGCATGCAGCTCTTTGGGGAAGAGAGGATACCAGACCCCAGATTTGCTGAGTGCAAAAGCCCAGGAGTGAGTCTGGAGTGTTCATGGGTCAGCAAGAAAGATGGGGAGGCTGAAGCAGAGGGAGGAGGTGAGAACAGCCATTCTATGCTGGGGTCAAAGGGGACAACTGTGCAAGAGTTTTATATATAAAGATGACAAATTAAAACAAGAGCAACAGGGGAGCGTTTGAACGATTCACCTACAGATCTTGGGATGCACCATATTTAAAGTCATCAATATTTTGACATGACACATCTTAATGACAAAAGCAAAGTGTGAACACATAAGTTAATACATAATGTGTAAAATAATGAAGAAGGTATACAAAGTTGTATACCCAAGGAAACAGAAACTGGGAGTAATA